CTGCGGCCCTTATGAGGATAAAGCGAATCGGAAAATTGATGGATGGATGGATGGTTGGAGACACACCTGTGGATGTCTGTTCCAATATATCTCCACAGGGAAGAAGCTATGAATTAAGAGCCCCGCAGTTATCAGATGTGATGCCACTGGATGTTCCTTTTTCCTGCTTAATCGACAGAAAATCCAACATCTAGCTGGTACAGTTTATGGTGGGAAATATTGATGCACAATAGACACCACGGGACGACATAAGAGGGTGTGTGTGTGTGTTTGTGTCTGCGAACGTGAGTGCATTTATGGATGGCAAAAGTATAAACCTGGGAGAATAGATGACAGGACTGAAGCTTTGCACAATGACCATTGCGAATCTCTGTGTTGTCACAGTTTGTATGCTTTGAAGAACTAAAACGGCAGATATAGGTCGCAAAAAAGATGTTCTATAAATAAAAGTGAGCTAAGTGGAGTGCATTAGAAGTCATTAAGGCATGCATATGTGCCTGACCTTACACAAAACGTGTTAGGCAATAAACACATGCCAGCCAACAGCAAAACAGAATGTACACATACATTCACAAGCACTTTCATGCTACACTGCACCATGTTCCAATGACACAGAAGGACACTTGAAAAGCTACTTGAAGCTATGTTGTCATCACCGATCAGATCACTTCAAGAAAGCCTATATTAGCCTTTGCGTGTGTAATCTTCATTACGTTCGACGAATTGGGACAGCAGCATATTGAACATTTAGCTGTTCTGTACTGTATATTCCAGGCCAACATGAAGCCAAGCTCTGCTGAGATGAAAAAACAGATGTGTCTGAAACTTTAATAGTGTGCACGAGAGGCGAACTGATAAAATTTACCACTCCGCAATACTCCAGCAAGTATCAGTATAACACAACTGCAGGGTCGCAACAATGCAGGACAGTGTTGCAGAGGTGGGAAACTTAAATGCTGGAGAGGGCTGCAATTTGTATTTAAATATAATAATTATAATAATATAATAATCGACACAGAGAGAGAGAGAGAGAGGCCCGGTGGTTGATTGGGTAGCGCATCCTCCTCACGATGCAAATGTGCAGGGTTCGCTTCCAGCTCCAGCCTTCCTGTGTGGAGTTTGCATGTTCTCCCCATGCCTGCGTGGGTTTTCTCTGGGTACTCAGCCATCTTTAGGCAGTAAGCGGGGCACACCCCGAACTGCCAATCGCAACCTCATATGAAGATAACGAAGGTATATATGTGCATCCATTATCTGCTTATTCTCACAAGGGTCGCGGGCGTGCTGAAGCCGACCGCAGCCGTCTTTGGGCAGTGGCAGTGGCGGTTCGAGATCAGTTTCACTGAAGGGGCCTCGCTGGGGCCAGGGGTTTTGATAGAGGGGCACATTCCACCCAGGGCAAAAAAGACAACGATTCAAAATCTTATTTGACTTTTTATTTCCATCAAACTTTTAGACCTTTACAGTGACGATGAAAAACAGTATAATAATCACATTAGTACTGAATTAAGTGCTGATAAAAAATTCATATCGGTGCCGATCTTGTGGAAGAGTCTTAAACTGCCCCTACTATTACAGCAACTGGATTCTGCAATTTTGGTTATTTCTGGCAAACCGTCCGAAGTGATTCAAGATTCAGCGCTTTTGACCTCCTAGTCACAATACTAAGTCCACTAAGATTGCTTAATCTATTATCATTCATAGTGGACATGAGGTATGTTTGCCCAAGATTGAATGTGGAAAAACTACATTCTGCATTGCCGGGTCTTTACATTTGCTGATGTCTGTGGAGAAAGACAAACAAAACAGATATAAACATAATTTCTGCATGGACACAGCTAACCTGTTACACTGTTTAGGCACTCAGACACACATAATTGTCTAAAATATATTCATGAATGCTATGTATTAATTGCATTAATTCATGTATTTATTCATTTATTGTATTCAGTAAATATAAATTCATACATTCTAAAGCCTGACTAGGGACTAAAATTGCAAACGCACTGAAGCTCGATGTTTTACATGCATCTAATTGGCCCAATTTAAAAAGGCAATGTCTTATATATTGTTCCTGTTAAATAAACATTAAAAAATAAAAAGGGATATTTAAAAAAGTTACACATACGCAGACAGTCTCAGTTTCCTCATTCTCAGGATCTTCATCTGTCTCTTTTTGCTGCTCTGTGTCCTCTCTGAAAATCAGTTTCTCCCGTTTCCTCTGACTCGTCCTTTGTGGTGCTCTCAACTTGCTCCTCTTTAGCTCTGTCACCACCATCATCTGGCTCTGTGTCAGTGTCTGAATCATTTAGTTTCTTTTTCATATAGAAAAAGGATGGAATGCCCTTTTTTCTTTTCAATTTTAACTTTAAAATTTTAACAGTGAAGAGGAGTTACACTTCAGCAACCCTAGTGTTGCGGGCTTGCTTGGTTTTCTGTTGTGGTCTTACCTTGACAATATAATATCACCCGGCGTCGTGGTAATCTTGGGACTGCTTCTCTGGGGGCTGCTTCTCCTCTTCGCGCTCGTCTTTTTTCAGTGGCGCAGCGCACTAAAAGGTCCGACTAGAACAGGGGTGTCAAACTCATTTTTGTGGCGGGCCACATTGTCGTGATGGTTTCCCTCGGAGGGCCGTCATGATGGTGAATTTTGTGAAACCATTTAAATGTTTAAACACCTCCACGTATTACATACACAGCGCACAACAAATTGATGGAAAAATAGTTTTAAAATCAAATGTCAAGAATGATGACTTGTTTCAACATTGTTTACATTTATATAATAAGGGGTTTGGTCTTGAGAAAATGCTTGCAATGTCATATTCTGTTATGGATTACATATGACAATTTGAAATGTTGGTTCAGACTTTAGCAAGCATCATGCTTGATTTTCTTCCACGGGCCACATAAAAATGGTGTGCCGGGCCAGATCTGGCCCCCGGACCTTGACTTTGACACCTGTGGAGTACAATGTTAAGCCAGGCATTTTAGTTCCACCTTTGGCGTCGGCGACTCGGCGCTACTGTATAGTCTACATTCGGAGAAGGGGGGGGGGGGGCTCAGGGTGTGGTCCAGAATCAGTGCTACAGTGGCACTGGCCCTTGTTGGCCCCTCCCCAGAACCGCCACTGGGCAATGGGCAGGGCACAACCCAAAATGGTTGTCAGCCAATCGCAGGGCACACTCAGAGAAACAACCATTCACGCTCACAGTCACCTGTGAGTGTGAGTGTGACAATTTAGGGTGTTCCATTAACCTGCCAACTATATTTTTGCCGTGTGGGAGGAAACCACGCAGGCATGAGGAGAACATGAAAACTCCACACAGGAATGCCGATATGTTGCGAGGCTGATTAAAAAATGACTTTGCATACTTGAGAAGTTCTCTGATTTTTTAAAAATAAAAATATAACACAGTAGTGTTGCACGGTAAAGATATGTATTCAATATAGGAATTAATTTTCCCGTCCATCCGTTTACAGCCCTTTCTCCCCAGGCCCGTTGTAGCACGGTGCACGACTGTAGAGGTTCACATTTGGCAAAAGCAATGCAGCCATGAGCCAATTCATTTTGCAGAATCGAAACTTTCCATAACCATCAGAAGTGGAGGTTGCGGAGTGAAGGAAGTGTTCCTCATTACTCAGATGTCCTCAGGATAAACCCTTCTCCACTTGCTAAAGCTTTAATCAGTTAAATACTCATATTTCACACAAGATTTGCTACTTTGATGTTGTAACGCCATGCTGGTTCAAGAGAAGTTCAGTGTTTTCCTTTAAGCATATGTTTGGTCTGCATAAATAAATGTGTGTACAGTACACGTTTACTGAATGCCTGAGTAAGGTGGCACTTTGTTCACTCCGAGATGGCCTATAAGAACAAAGCCTTGTGTAATTTTTCCCTACGATAGGAAATTCCGCACTCCTCAGAAACAATTAGCTGCATGAAACTGCAGTAAATATGTACCATCAGTGTAGTTTTGTATTATTATTATTATTATTATTATTATTATTATTATTATTATTAATTTATTTATTTATTTTTATTATTATTTTCAGACTAAACACGTTTGTGTTTGAATCATAATTTACCATGAAATCCGAACATAGCCAAACCCCCTGGAGCTAGATTGGGGTGGCGACTCGGACTTCCCACAAATTCCCTCTGTTGCCAGAAAGGAAAAGTGAAAGGAGAGCTGATAGATTTTTTTTCTACTTTGTATCGTAATATATTTTATTCAGAAAAGAGAATGAATCAGACCTGATTTTCGCCAATATACCAGTTGAGCGCGGATAGTTTTTCATCTTTGTGTGTGCCCTGCGATTGGCTGGCAACCGGTTCAGGGTGTCCCCCGCCTACTGTCCGAAGACAACTGGGATAGGCACCAGCACACCCCGCGACCCTTGTGAGGATGAAGCGGTTCAGAAAATGGATGGATGGAAGGATGGATGTGACAGTCATAAGGGCCCTCCAAATGAAATGAGTTTGACAACCCTGCACTAAATGTTTCTTTGTTGTCAAAATATTTTCTTTGGCAAAGAGGTTTAAGGGACTGATTCGTGTCAGATAATTGAATGGATGTTATTTGAGTCCAACCTTTTGAACGCACTCGCAATTTAAATGAAAGACGCATTTCTCCTCCTCCAATTTGGTCAATATTTTATCAGTGGCATTCCCTCAGGGCCTTCAAGGCCTTCTCTGCAGGTACAAACACGATCAGAAACACAGTCCTCGATTTGCAACTTCAATGAAGTGGAAATAATTTATTTCCAACAATCATTTGTCTTCATTTCATTGCGTATGTCTTGACCGCAGGTCTTCCACTCTTTTATGGGTTTTTGTTTGTTTGTTTGTTTTTTTGGGGGGGGGGTCCAAATCAGATTTCAACTTTCATTTGTTGCCATGCACATATTTCGTCCAATGCCGTTCAGCACACACACACACACACCAGTGAATTTGCTGGTTCTTCTTTTAGCCAATTACCTGTAGATTGAAGATTGACCTCCGAGAAGCCAGTCCACAGGCCCTTTGACAAGTGAGTTTATCCAATCTGTTTTTGTAATTTCAGAGTAGTTTTATGGATAAGTGTGCAACGTTGCCTACACTGACACATAGGAGCTTTTGCATTAGCATCTCTGGTGAATATGATGGTTGTTTTTGCTTTATTTGAAGTTTTCATATTGATAAAAATTGATAATGACGTACTATATTGTACTACAGAGATTTGGAGTTCTTAAGGCGATGCATTGGAAGATAAAGGTAACAGTTTTTGTTTCTTTTGGTAATATCCTTAAATATAAGAAATGATCCTTTTTAATGCCACACATTGCCCTCTTTCGTATCGATGTGTGTGGGTGAGAGTGCTTGGAAGGGAGATTATCCAGACAATCGTCTGTGAATCTGCATGGGGTTTAAGAACAGTTTTCGTGTTTCGCAATGCTCTGAAAGTACTCATAGTTCTATCTTTTTTTTTTTTTTTTTTTTTTGAGGAGGGGGGGATTATACTGTGACGTTATGGTGTTATTAAGAGGTCATTAGATCATAAATACCCACTGAAGGCCCAGGTCCAAAACTCACAGTCTGACACTGTTTTTTAATTTTATTTTATTTATTTATTTATTTTTAAATCAATAGTAATTTTAGAAAAGGGAACTCCTTTCACATAAAGCTAAAGCATATTGTTGGTGTTACTATGTCAAGCTCCACAAACTATGTTGGTAACAGGGTGTTGTACCTTGCTGTTGCTGTTTATAGTCCGTAGCCTAATTCTTCTCATAAATGTACGCTAAGTACTTAACTCATGACCTTGCTATGTTAAATGAGCTGGGTTATTATTGATAATCACTTAAGGAGTTTAACAGTGGCTCAGAATTAATATGCACATAATACGTTCAATTTCGGGATGGCTGGTGTTGCATAGAAAATGCATGATAGTGCGGTACCACTGATTGAACATACCGTGAGTGAGTTACAGAAATGTTTGTCCTTGCTTGAAGCAAAATATTCCTCTAATGCCTTTTTTTTGACCTGCCTAATCTTGTGGCTTCTCCTTGTATTACAGTCCACCAGCTGCTGCTTCCACCACACCACAGATCATGCCAGTCCTCTCTCATGTCAAACAGATTTATTTCCTAGTGATAGCAGTAGTAGTAGTGGTAACATTGAGCAGTCTACCAACTGTCCAACGATATTGCTTTGATAGAGTCAGCTCTGTGCACATCCGACACACTTTGTATGATTGAGAGGGGCACATGGCTTGTATCGCTTCAGTCTTCCCCTCGCTGTTTGTAAACACTTTTTTTTTCCCCAGTCATGTCTTTATGTAATGTAAAACAATTTGGCACATTTTGGTCACAACCCTGCCTACGTAGATAAGTTCAATGTAAAAATGAATCATGTTGCATTTCCTTGTGAAAAAATAGCTCCAAAAAAGAGCTTTCCTGGCTGTTTGGTTTCTCTCAAGAGTTTGTCATTGCTCTATATGCTCTATCATAGCTGTTTGGGGTGTAACAAAAAAATCGATTTGAATCAGAAAATCAGCCTGACGATTTTCCTCCAGTGGTGAAAGCACTGCGGCTGCCCTCCAACTCAGCTCCGGCGGAGCATTGCCTGCGGCCACACTCCGGACCTGCTCTGGTGACCCAAGTCCTACGGCCGCCGCGCAAGCCTGCTCTGGTAGCGTAAGCCCTGCGGCCACCTCCCGAACCAGCTCTTGTGACGCAAGCTCTGCAGCTGCCCTCCGATCATGCTTCGGCAGCGCAAGCCCGACGGCCACCCTCTGATCCTCTTCCAACGGAGCAAGCTCTGCAGATGTTTTCTGACTCTGCTACAGAAGTACAAGCCCAGCATCCGCCCGCTAACTCTGATTGAGCACTCATTTGAGGACCGCGGCAGAGTTATGCGCGGTCTCTCGTTATTTTTTTTTTCCTTGCTTATAAATTGTCTGTTTTAAAGCATTGGTACTGACAATAAAGATAATTCTAGAGCAGGGGTAGACAATCCTAGTCCTCAAGGGCCGCTACCCTGCACGTTTTCCATCTCTCCCTGTTGCAACACACCTGATTCTATTGATCAGATCATCAGCAAGCTCTACGGAAGCCTGATATTGAACTTGTTCATTTGAATCAGGTGTGTTGCAACAGGGGGAGTTGGAAAACCTGCAGGATCGCGGCCCTCCAGGACTGGGATTGCCCACCTCTGTTCGAGAGTAATTTAAAAAACTTTTTTTTTCATTTATTTCAAACATTTTTATTCAACAGCACAACATGTAGAACAATAGAAAATAACACAGTGAAGTCCGAAAAATGGGTTCCTCAGGAAAAGCGAATATGCATTGAAATGAAAATATAATTTTAAGTTATGATCTTGCAAATGGAATTGAAATTATTGTTACAGTACTTCCAAATGTGCATGATCAAAAGATGACACGGTTTGATTGCTGCCAGCTACTTTTGCCGCATTCGAGGAAGGCGAAAGTCAGACATGTGAAGTAGAACGCCCTTCTGAACTTGGAGGTCCAAGTCGCAAAGTCGGGAAAAAAAAGACCTAACCCAAAGACGACTTCATGGAGCAGCTTCAATCTGACGTCACTCGACAATGGCGACCACGATGAAGACACAGACCGTAAATGGCAAAACATAATTTACAAGATTATACAAATACTGTATATTGATCTTTCTTTCTTGATTATTAGATTAATGAAGCTTTTCAAAATAACTTTATATGGAATACAACGTGATTTGTACTGACTCAGTGAAGGCATGCCGCTATCGCTATGCATGAAGTTTTTAGGTCAAAATAAATGAAATGCTTTGAAGATACTTCTTTATTTATATAAATTAAGGAGCTTTGAAGATAAGATACTTCTTTATTTATATAAATGAAGGAAGTTATGAAGGTTTGCTGGAGGTCAAGATTTGTCGTGATGAACGAGAACAACAAACACTTTCCCAGAATCAGCCTCTTTGTTGTTTACATTGGCCTCGAATGCTTTGGGGTCAGAACTGGGACAGCACACAAGAACGCGCACACACACACACACACACACACACACACACACACACACACACACACACGGGAAATGGGTGACAAAATACAATGTCTAATGATGAATAAGTATTGACTTGAAAAATAAGCGTTGACTTAAATGCACACATAACACTAGAATAAACCCAGTCACTGTTGGCTCTGTTTCAGCTTGTTGGAGACGGGCGGGGAAGGAGCGTTTGTCAAATGGGGTGGTCTGGTTAGCTCTTTGATTGACAGCAAACAGCCCAGTTCCCTTACAAATAGAGGAAAGGTTGTTTCATAAGTCTGTTACTTTACAATATGTTTGGAACTGTCAAGTTTAGCAAGATACAATAGGTTTCACTTGAAAGGTGAAATCTTCAAGTTTTCTGTCAGACTATTTTTACTTTTTGTATTAAATGTGGTTTGCATTGATTTCATTTACTGATAATGCTGTTCTCCACAAAGAGAAGGCATTTTGTGTTTAAGAGTTTGATAAGAATGGGTCATGCAGACAAGTTGAATGCGGATTGTTTTTCCTGGTGTTTTCCTGGCTTTGTAGGTGCACTTTTGTTCTTGTAAATAAATATTTTTGTAATGGAGTTGTGTTTGGTGTCTATGTTTGTGGGATCCGATCACTATTCGGTTTGTTCCTGAACTGTGACACCTATGTTGAAACCTCACCTTGGGCTGTCCTGTGTGGTTTGTGTATGACCTACACTCACACATGAATGGTCTTTCGGCATGGACTACCCCGCATCTCTCCCTAGGTCGGGGGTCGGCAATCTGTGACTCGAGAGCTGCATGCGGCTCTTTAGCGCCACCCTAGTGGCTCCCCGGAGCTTTTAAAAAAATGTTTGAAAATGAAAAAATGATGGGGGAGGGAAATATATTTTTTGTTTCAATATGCTTTCTCTAGGAGGACAAACATGACACAAACATTCTTAACATTTTCCAATGCTGTAAAAATGTGTCGAATAAATATTACATTTCAACATTTCTGTCAACAGAGATATGCGTCATAGCCTGCGACACACGTTTCTATTAGCAGGACGGGATTTCAGGCAAATGGCTGTTGTAAAAAAAACAAACCAAAAAAAAAAACGTGTTTCATGTACAATTCATTGAGGATACTGGCAAAGAATGGGAATCTGAAGGGCCGAGAGATAGAGGTAAGATCGGGCCGCCCGAGCCCGAGCCCGACCCGAAATTCGGGGTCGGGTCGGGCCTTAAAATGTCAATCATTGCCTCGGGTTCGGGTCGGGTCGGGCTTCTCTCTCGCTGATTTTTTTTTTTTTTCCGAGGCCGTCAATAGTTTTGGCTGCGAGAGACCGTGGTTCGCACAACAACAGAAGTCGCCTCGTCACATCACGTAGTGTACTAAACTCTTGCAATGACAATTCAAAGAACTCCTTCCTGTCTCTGTCTATGATCCACCCATCATTATTCTTTTTTGTCTCTCTGCCTCTCTCTCTTATTTCTTAAGGACGTACTGCTGCGGTGATTTACGGCCCATTTTTCAACCCGTCAAAATGACGGACAGCCTTAAATTTTCCCCGTCCATTCTTAAAAAAAATCCGTCAAATGATAGAAAATTGTCGGTTAATGTAACCTCTTCAGAAACAGAAATATAAAAGATGTTAATGTTTATACAGTCTTGTTTAACTTAGATTTCGTTACAAAAGGCAGGCTTTGTTGTCAGAAATCACCCCTCCTCCTCCCGAGTCCTCACAAATAAAATATGAAATGTCGGGTTTGCTTCGGGCTCGGGCCTGCAAATCAAGCTAAGTGATCGGGCTTGGGGCGGGTCGGGCTTAAATACCCTCGGGCCGGTTCGGGTCGGGCTCGGTTTTTTCGGACCGATCTTATCTCTACCGAGAGAAGCATTTTAAAATGGTACACGTGAGCTACGATAGTTAACACGCCGCAAAAGTGCGTCCCATGCCTCATCGTCAGGTCTCAACGAAGACAGGCAGTGATTTTCACAAACTCTTGTGTCTACTTTATTTTTCTGTTTCATTCATCTTCGGGGCCGTTGTGGATGTTGCTCACTACGCCATGCATGTGTAAGTGTATGCGTATGTGCGCGTGTGTAGTAACGATCTTGATTTTCGATCAAAAAAGGTTGGGCACCCATGCTCTACAGGATGCACTGCAAAGAAAAAAAACATTTCATCATGAAGGCTCATTGCGCATTTGTAGCCCAACATTTCAACATTTTGGGTTGGGCTCCAGCCAGCTGAGAGGAGAACAAGCAGTATAGAAAAGGATGGCTGAAGTTCATAAGTTCATCGAGTGTATTTCCCCTCCTTTTTGCATGATTATGTCAGCTGTGTTAATTTTGATGGTGAGCCACCATATGACCTACAGTTTACTTTCAGAGACATGACCTGTATCTTGGCTCTTAGAATGCCTTTTCTGAATGAAGCGAAATAACATTCAACAATTGTACCCCTAAAGTAAAGAACACATTAGATTTTTCTCAATTTCATAATATAAAGTCAATGTTCGAAAGTTAAAATATGTGGGAGGGGGTGGGGGGCGGGGGGACACAAAAGGATGAGGGAGACATGATGGATTAATGGAAAGAACTAAGGGTAAATGTTTGTGAAATGTGAAAATAGGACAATGAAATGAGAAAAAAATAGAAGAGCTGTGAGCTTAGGGTGGGAACATATTTTACTGGCAGTCCACACCACATTCACTAGGGAAGTAGACACGGAAGAAGCTGTGGAACAATGGAGGGAGGGAGATACTGTGCACAGAAAAGAATTCTGAAAATGTCAGCAGAGCAGCAAAATATAGATGATGTGGGAGCTGGTGGGGGGGGGGGGTAGAGGAACACTGACGTAAAAAACTAGTGTGGGTTCTGCAGAGAAGAGAATACTTATGAGAAATGAAATAATGGAAAGTGGGTGGTTCCTTTTAAAAAGTAAAACTTTTGGATTATGAGCCTGTTTTTATTTTCCCACCCTCACCACCCATGTCAAATGATGAATTTACTATGGCTTATCACATTTTTCAGTCCATTTTGACAGATTGCACTCAATCCTGATTACCGCCAGACATGTTCAATCAAGAAATCTTCTAAATAGAACGTGTCTGACGAAATGAAGTCGGCCAGTGAATCGTCTGCACAGATTACCCCAACAGCACAGCGACAAATCACCCATGGTTGCACAAAGGAACCCAGTATGACATTTAAAGAACTGCTGGCCTCCCTAGCCTCAGTTAAGGTGTGTTCATGATTCAATGAGGAAGGAACTGGGCAAAAATGGCATCCATGGCAGAGTTCCACAGTGGAAACCACTGCTGAACAAAAAGAAAATTAATGATCGCTTACTTTGAA